CAAAGAATAGTCTTTTCAAGTGCAATGAAGAACTTCGATTAAAAACCTTGAGAAAAGAAAGATCTAATCGGAGACTTTCGTTACTTGGAAGTAGTGGAGGAAGGATTCCCGAATTGTTCGACAAAAAATTTGAACAAAGAACCGTCGCGTTTAGCTTTTTTTAAGGCGCTGGATTCGACCAAGTATTGGGAAATGATAAGAGAGTGGGTGTACCTGTTTTTACAAACCGTAAAATAAAGACTTCCAAAAAGCGAAACACGCCGGAGTGGCCCTAAGTGAAAGGGCAACATCGTATTAGGTCGGCAAGGCTTACATCAAGCTTTCTCTCCGTCGTTGAGTACGGTCTCAGTAAAAAAATCCTGAAGATCGGACCAGAGACTAGCCTCCACGCAGACGTCCGTTGGGGTTCGTAAGAAATGAATGCGTGACAAACGAACCCCAACGGACGTCTGCGGAGAGGCTAACCAGAGACAATTCTCACTGAACATAGATAAAAGCAAGTACACTGCAGTCTTAAAAGAGAGACTTTTCTCGTCCGGTAACGCTGCAGTTCCTGTGACCAGACCTCATGCATTAAGGAATGTTATATTACACAAGTAATTTTTCTTGGGGGAGTGAAATTGTATATAGTATATAGTTTCTTTTTGAGACCCGGCCTGTGATTTTGTACCTTCCAGTTACATTGCAATTCTAGTAATTTAGGCACTACTCAAGACATGTATAAATTCATTGATAAAATGTCAAATGGCAATTGCTTGCAAGGGCTCACTTGTGGAGCTGCTTCTTTTTGGAACTTATTGGGCCAACGAGCATGTTTACACTTTGGGCAATCACTTTGTAATTCAATCAAGAATGTCACGTACATCTACCTTTTGGCTAGCACGCACTGAGTATAGACTAGTCCCCTACTCTCCTGCATGTGATTTAAGAACACTCGGTTTTACATACATAACGCCAAAAAGTTCACTACTGTTGAGGAAGAAACACTCGCAATAGAAAAGACGCGTTTACACTGAGTACTTTGTTATGGGTATTTGTTTATTTCAAGGACCCAATTAGAATATGACTCTGTTCTACTTTCTATGACATGATAAGGACTGGATAAACAGGTTTTTTGTCTTCGCGTTATATAAGCAGTTTCAATATCGGTAGATACACAAACAGACCTGTGTTCTTGCCTGCAATGATCCTCTACTTTACAGAAGCCGGTAGAATTAAACACAGGGTCCTTTACTGTAGAAAATTTATAATCATCTTTGGTTCGAGCGACCTGCGAGTCATCGAACAATTGCTTGCACTTGCGGCTGAGTGCCCGGGGGGCAGTTGGGTATTTTTTGGGTGGGTATGTGCCGCCCAGGACTCCAAATTGGCACCCCTCTCGAAAAAAATTTCCCCTTCAATTGATACCCCTTTCTTGAAATGGGCCAATTTTTTATACCCCGTTCTAGAATTCGCCCTAAAACTGATACCCGTTCTAGAAATGGGTCAATTTTTTATACTCCGTTCTAGAAAGTTTGTGAAGTAAAATAGCCCTGTTTTTTTTTTAAAGATATTTCTTTATTTGTTCGATTTATACACCAAATAAATGCTTCTTCATAATCAGCGACAATTTTAAGCAGAAGATAACGCCGTGATCCACAATTTGTTTTTACCCCGTTCTAGAAAACGCCTCTGAAATGGATACCCCGTTCCAAATCAGGAGCTTCAAAACCACGACCCCGTTGGGCGGCACATACCCGTATAGGTAATGTATGGGAGTACCCCCTCCCCCCCGGGGCTGAGTGTCGGTCAAATCGAAGCTTCAACACCCCCCCACCCCCACGGGTATACCCTGGGCATTTGACACCTCTGCCGTCCCGGAGAGGAGGGACTTTGATTATCAGAGTCTTCTAGGGTGTGGGGAATTTGATGCCCATGCGTTAGGGGTGGGGAATTTGAACTGCACCCTTGATTTAATCTCCTGTGAAATCTCTGGCGTGGCGAGCTATCATGGAGGACGTGGTGTTAGAGGATTTTCGTGGAAAAGATTGTGCCTTTGTGGCCAATTGGTTACGAGGAAAGGGCTTATATAAACAAGCTCTGTCCCGTATTTGAAGTATTTAGATTTACATATTTTTAATATTGGATTCAGGCTTTGAACGTATGAATGTATTAAGTTGTGTTTACAATGAAATACAATACCTATACCAGCGATTCAATACAACAGTATAAAATAAAATAAAATAAAAAGCTCAAGTCAACTACTTTGACCTGCCGCAAGTATGTTAATCCATAAGGTGAGTGATGATGCATGTCAGTGAAATGTTCATGATGTAGTTTTATCTCAATAGGTGGGATCTTTTTGTATGTTGCATGACACACAAAGAAAAGCTGAGGATTCAGTGACCTGTAGCAGCGATTTCCGCCGCTTTGCATGTTTATCAGTTTTTGTTATAGTGAATGCGAATTATTTGCTGTATTGTAGATTTTGTTCGACACTAACTGAAGGCGTTTCCGCCTGTAAAATGTCCCCGGGGTGTGTGGTGCATTTGAACGGCATTTTGGCCCGGGTAGGGGGGAATTTGAACAATAATTTTCAAAAAAGTCAAATGCCCGAGGGCTTGCCCAGCATCCTGCCTCCTTTCCTTACTAAGTTTAGGCAGATTCTCTGAGGGATTCTCGATCAATATTTCCTCGAAAAAGAATGCTTTCGATCCAGTTTTTACTCTGAAAAGCGGGAAAATCGGGAAAAATCCGGTAGGGCCAGGCGCCCGCGCTGTATGAAATTCGGGCAATACTTTCAGCGGGGCGTATGAACCACAAGGGGGGAAACTAACTCTGCAACTCGCTTGGCTAGCGCGAGAGGAACTCGTCACTGTTCCACGGTACTAGGATCTGCTACAACTGGAAAACAGGACAGCACTCAAACTTGGACTTCAACAGATTAATCTCCAACTCGTGGAAATCATGCATGCGTGTGCATCTAACATGTAACTCATCCATGTAAATCGCAGTGTAAATCGAAAAACAGGGATAACAGTGCTCTATTCATAATTCCATAATAACCCATCATCTTATTACAACATCACAAATCTAATGGAGAGAAGGCTGAATAAAATCAGCTGAAAACTAAAAACAAACAGAACAAATCTGGATATAAATTCAGCTTTAAAGCTTATATGTTAAACTAAATGACTCAAAATAAAAATGTCAGTCAAGGAATTTCGAAATAATCTGAATTTCGAAAACTACAAAGATTCAGCAGTAAAGCTGTGCAAAAGAATTCGAGTTTCCTTTGCTCAGGATTCCTTAAAATGACAAAATAAAAACTACGAACGGTTGGTATTTGAGAAGGCGAAAGATCTAGTTATTCAGTGACTACGCTGTACTGAATTATCAAGATGAACTTATTATCCTTTTAAAAGTCAACATTGAAGTGAAATGTGTATAATTTAAAGGATTAAAACATCTCAATGCAAATTCGATGTAAATTACGGTTACTTCAAAGGAAATAATTAAAAGCTGGATAAGAAATTCGAGGCAAATAAAAAATTCATGGGAAATCTCTCCTTACAGTGTATATATGGCTAGCAAAAGCAAACAAACAAGCACACACAAAGCCATCAAGATTTTTGGTGGGTTTTTCAAGGGCGCAACATTAGAAAAGTGCTAAATATCTTAATTTGCTTCATAGCCAGGTTCAACTCTCGCTTTGCAGACAAAGCTCTCACGAGCAGGAGGGCAGATGAAAATCAGAATTATAAGAAATAAACGAATGAATAAAGAAAATAAAGAAATTCATAAATACATAAAATATTTACCCTATGCGATCTGACCATCCACAAGATCAAGCAGTATAGAGTTCCCTTCGCGATCTTCAGCTAAGATCACAAGAAAAAAAAATATAAAAAATAAAAGAATAAGTAAAAGAAAAAAATAAAGGAGTGATTATATAAAAACAATGAATAAAATCAACAAAATAAGGGTATGCCAGCACTCCAGAACGGTCACTTCGGCGGCTCACGTACTGTGACGCACATTCCTTCGACAATTTGGTCTAATATCAGTCCCATATACTTAATGTAAGTACAAGCTTTCGACTATTATTTATTCAAATCCGGATTCCTCAATTTCTCTTCTTTGAAAGGATGCTTGTTTCGTTTTTATATGGATAGAAAGTTTGCATGGGCGCATGCTAGGAGGCCGGGCCGACCGAGTTATGATCCCCTCTGATCTATCGATAAGAGGCGTGTTCTATTGTTTTCCCGAAAAAATGTCTTTTCTGTTTTCAACACAGGCACCCCAAGCTCACGAGTGAGAATCCTTGACGCAGCAGAAATATTACAAGGGTTTGTATGGAGAATTTAGCGATGGTTATTTAACATGAGGGCATTAAATGGAAATAAAAATGCATAAAAAAATGCTTACGTTGCCTCCTTGTCTTATTTATATAGAACATAAGGAAACCGCATCCGGAAATTAATTTCTAAATACCGCAAACCGCTTGGACGTGTAAAACCGCAATACCGCAGTTTCTGCAAAATTGCTCAAAAAATCGAGCAAAACCGCATCACCGCAAACCCTTACGCTCCCTTCAGCACGATTCTAGCGAGTTTTTCTACCGCCATGCTACCGTTGCTCCATATAGAATTTCAGGAGAACCACAGGGAGAGAAGGGAGAGAGAAAGGAAGAGAGAGAGAGCAACGGGAGAACTAAAACTCGCTAGAAACCGCCCCGAACCTTCAGTACCGATAAGAAAAAAAAAATGTCTGGCACCCAGGGAAGGGTTTACCTGTGGTTTTCAATACGGTTCTTTTTGCGTCACGCGAATTTACTTAGCCTGTGCTGCGTGATCATTTAGTAGAGAGGCTATTGTGTGACAATTTAAGGTATTGTGTAATTATTATTTCGTTCTGCATAATATCGAATTCCCATAATCATTAACGCAGAACCGCTCAGTGTTTCATTCTACATTTTCCGGTTTACAGCCTCTGAACTTAACTTTTTTGAAGATTCTTCGACATCTTTACTCTCTGCGTGGCTGGGTTCTACTTGGTAAGTTTCAGCTGTTAGTTTATCACTTACCATAATTTAATATGGTCATGAAGAACGCAGCTCGTGACGGCGTGTATAAAGTTCAACCAATTTCGTTTTATGAATTCTGTTTAATCGCTTCTAAATTTACTGAATAATAGATCTACTCGACCGAACTATGTCGCCTGCTTTCGCTTTTGTGAATGCCAAACATGGAAGTATTGTCGAAATCAAATTATCTTGGTTGAAGCTCGCTTATTTCCTGGGTGACCTGAAACAAACTGATGTTTTGGTTTCGTTCAGAAGGTGTAATCTTTTTACTTCTTTTGAAGCTTATAGATCGTAAGAATAGCTACAAAAGCTAATTCTCAACTTTCGCTCTCGAGATAAGCGGCGTTGGCTAATGGGCTTGTTTGAAGATGGCAATGCAAACAGTCAGATAAGGGTTTACTCTATTCGTGATCTTTGTATTATTTCTAATACTTTATTACTTTTCTTAGAGCACGTAAATTGTTGTACTGGTGTTGATTTTCTACTGTTATAATAACAATGATAAAGAGGTTTCGGTTTTTGTAGAGAGTGAAAGTTTGTCCGAAAGCAGATTCCTTTTAGTCTTCACTGGTTGCTTTATAATTGTATTGCTACATGGAAGAGAATCGCCGAAGACGTCAATTCACGAGATCAAGTTTCTCGCAGCCAATATGTTAAAGAACAACAACTCGCGGTCAAAGGTGGTTGTGTCATAGGACCTGGCAACGAAGTGTTACTTCAACGTGTGTGGTTTTCGGTTAGACTACTGGTATCGCACGGCCGCAAACGTGAATGTTACGTGCAAGCCGAAGGAGGCGAGTTCACACGCTGTATAGTTCCCCTTCAGAATCAACTTCCTTAGCTCCCTCTCTCGAGTAATCTACTTGACAAAACGAATAAGCCAAGGACTGCCAGCAGTCTACTTTTTTTTTTTCTCTGTGAGCAGCTCTAAATATGAAAATTAAAACGTCTTAGATGGCGATGACGACAAATGTTAAACTGCGTGGTCAACTAGTTAATTACGCGAAGGCCTTACGTAATTATATTAAAAGCCACACGGAAATACCTCGTCATGCTTCCACGGCAACGGCTTCTCTTCAAGCAGCTGCTAATTTGTTGGTTTATTCTTTCTCTCCTGTTTTAATTCTTGTTAATCTCTTTTATTTTTGTCCCTCTTAGGATCATTTTTTACATCAGTCCAACCATGATTTGTGTTGTTGTTGTTGTTGTTGTTGTTGTTGTTGTTCTTTCAGTTAAAAATGATAATTTATTGCTGTAAATGCCAGGAATAATTGCTTTTGATGGGTTATCTATTTTTATTTCATTAATTGTTCCTTTAGGAAGTTCTACTTGAGTCGATTAGCGTTTTCGTCTTCTCCTGAAATGGTTTAGTTTTGACAGGTAGGGAAATAGAACATACCGTATGTAGTAACACTTGAAGCGTAAGGACAGTGTGCTCTTTTGACAAGTTTTAAAACTGATGTTACATCGAACTATTATACAAAGTATTTCCAAACTGTAATATTTGGCCATATACAACATATATTTTGATGAATGTCAAATATGTGGAAATTTAACTACTTTTAACTGAGCTAAGAACAAAAAGGCGGGCTGTAGTTATTTGTGGCTCATGCAGTCCGATACTGTTTTTACGTCAACAATATCGTCTCGAGTTAGTTGCCTTTGAGACCATTTCCCGTGACGTCACATCATCTGGGTCCCAATCAGGGGTAGCCTGGGGCAGGAACGCGTGACGAACCCCCTAGGAACGTCTACGTGGGAGGCTAAATCAGGGGCTGCCCCAACGACGGTTTCCTCCTAAAGTCAATGAAAACACTTTTTAGATCTCTAGAACTGCATTCTAAGCGGCGCTATAAAATTGTTATCTGTTTATTACTTCAGTCTTCTCAAAATTACAAGGCCTTAAGTATCATTTTTTTTCCTGAAAATTTTAGGTGCAAATTGACGTATACGAAAGTAAGACATTTTCTGTTTCAAATCTCCATCGCATTTTTGAATCCAAAAATTTGCCGGTTTCCTTTTTACTACAAAAAAAGAAAAAAGCCTAACTTGGGAAGGTAAATGTGAAAACTGTAATATTTGGCCATATACAACATATATTTGGATGAATGTCAAATATGGGAATATAACTACTTTTAACTGAGCTAAGAACAAAAAGGCGGGTTGTAGTTATTTGTAGCTCATGCAGTCCGATACTTTTTTTACGTCAACAATATCGTCTCGAGTTAGTTGACGTTCAGACCGTTTCCGTCACATTGTCTGGGTCCCAATTAGACCCCTAGGAACGTCTGCGTGGGAGGCTACATCAGGGGCTGACCCAACGACGGTTTCCTCCTGAAGACATTGAAAACACTTTTTAGGCTACCAGAGTAGTTTCAGATCTCTAGAATTGCATTCTAAGTTGCGCTATAAAATTGTTATCTGTTCGTTTCTTCAAGGAAAACCTGAGTCTTTTTAAAATTACAAGGCCTTGATTATTTTCGCGAAAATTTTAGGTGCAAATTGACTTATGCGAAAGTGAGACATTTTCTGATTCAAATCTCCGTCCCATTTTTGACGTCGCATTTTTTAATCCAAAAATTTATCGGTTTCTTTTTTTCTGCAAAACTAACTTAGGAAGTTAAATGTGAAAATCAAACTTCAGGAAATTTTAGGGAATATATATTAGATAAGCTTCCCAAATTGTACATGAATGGAACGGTCGTCTAGAAACTGTTAGCCGTCCTCAAGTAATGGAAATTCTAGGCAATATTTGGTTCTCCGAACAGATATTTTACAGAAAACAGGCTGTGGGTGCCCCTGAACAATACGACAGAGCCGATTACGTAGCCTGCGTAGCAATCGTTTCCAATTGAGTTATGGCGCGAAAGTTAGAGCGGGAGCAAAAAAAAGAAAAAAGGTGGAAGGGGGAGGGGGGAGGAAGAAGAGGAAACGCTTGCCCGCAAACCCCACGATCCTGGAAAACGCCCCTTGATATTTCACGGTTCGGTTCATTTGTAAATTGACAGCTCGTCAAAATAAAAGAATAACGAAAAGATTACCCCTGGATTACCAGATTTGTAAAATTACTTTGTTCTCTAATAGAACACGTTCCAGGCGATTGCAAAAACTTTAGTAAAAAAGGTTTACGATAAAAGAAGGTTAAAACTCTGAGCGATTGCTGCGAAATTTCTTGCTTTTTATTGTGTGGCTTTATCTCTCTGAAACCTTGTCGAAACGTCAAAAATGATTTGCCCGGAACAATTCACTCCGCCTGGTATAAGTTTTGTAGAGCGGCTGCTCTTCAGCCCGTGTCGAAACGTTCTCTACAATACATGCCAATAAAATTTCCAATAAACAAACAGAATCTTTTTATTTCAAAAAGCTGACAAATCGCTTGTCCATGGCGGCTTTAGCTAGTGTCGAGTACCGATGTTCTGATTTACGTTGCTGTTATCTCCAACAAACAGTCCATTTTTTCCAGTCAGATCCGCACGCGGTCGTTCCCAATATATTGGCCTTCCCTAGTCTCCACTGCTCGATCTCCCATTATACTTTAAAGGCTCTGATCTCATAAAGCTCCGCACAAACACGATTCAAATCAGTCCAAAGCAATTGTAATCTGCGACCACAAATCAGATAAGACCAGATCTGTGACGCAAGTAAACAAAGCATACCTGGTTTGATTGATGTTTCGAGTGCTAAGTAATCAACACTACCAGCACCGCACCAATCAGAAGCTGCGTTCGTGGGCGAACGCAGTTTTTCAAAATCGTGGGGTTTGCGGGCTAGACTGCGAGCAGTCTCTCTTTTTCTTCAGATTTAGTGAGAGCAATGCACGCGCGCGGGAGCGGCGAAGCCGCGAGACGCGCGAACGAGTCGCGCGCGTGGCCATTTACGTGTCTTGCGTTTTGCTCGACGGACTACAGAAAAAAGAGAGACTGCTCGTAGTCTATTTGCGGGCAAGCGTTTCCTTCTTTCCCCTCTCCCTCCCCTGTCATTCCTTTCTTTTTTGTTCTCGTCCCAACTTTTCTCGACAAACTCACGCGGAAACACTTGCTACGCAGGCTACCGATTACGATGGACCCAAACTATTCGTGGGTGGTTAATTTCTTTTCTTGTGTAAACGCTTTTTTCTTCCAATAAATTTTCATAGCCACTGGCCACGTGAGTGAAATGCTTTTTTCACAGGAGCGAAGGAGGACGGTGACTATGTGAACTTCTTTTCTTCAATTCTTTTCTCGGTTGTATCAGTCCAGGTTCTTACGGCTTACCGATAACATCCTCCTCGAATAAATCCTTTTTCTTTTCTTTCACAAAAAACTGACGAGGAAAATGGGTATCGAGGAACAAGATTATGAGGAATGTTCAATATTTTTTCATTATTTTTTTTTAGGTTTAACCGTGACCTGATCGTGTGATTTCTATGGAGTTTTGCTGGTTTGCAATCTGTACCCTGTTGGCGTTCATACCATGGATATCAGCAGAAGAAAAGCTGTTGTATCAAACACCAAATGGGAATCATTGGGGAGGCTGGGAGGTTATCACTGATGGATTATCTTCTTTGAATGTAATTAAAGTAGTCCTTTTGTTATTTTACTCAGTATCCATAATATAAGCATCCCATTTGTCAAAGAGCAGCTTTCTTATGGTGGTCATGCAGGGTGCATCATAGCGGAGCTCTCGCGCGCGAAGCACGCAGCGGGGCACCATGGGTAAGAAAATGTGGAATACTACCCATCCGAGAAAATTTGGTAATCACGTGACCGTACACCGACCGACCGCCCGACCGCCCGTCCGTCTGCACCACATGCATACCAATGTTAAATAATTCAATCAACAGGTATGGCAACCCAAATGCAAGTCAAGGTTTTATTTGGAAAAAAATCGCATTGGCGCCCGGACTTTTAGAAAGAAAAAACAACAATAAATTCGTGTCTTTTTCGACATTATTTTTTATGTTTACGCTCACGTGGATAACAGAGAAAGAGCTAGAGCGAGTGATTAAAAACAAAAGAGACGAATTGTGTAGGGAGAAAAACATGAAAATTCAAAGCGGCGGTAAGACAATGAGAAATGCTAGTGGCCAGCAAGGTGAAAATGAACGGCAGTGAAAAATAAAAGCGATCATGAACACGGGAGACAAAATTGGGTAAGCAGATGCGACAATTCCTCTATAAAAATAATGTGTAACGAGGACGTTTGACGTTCTAGTCCTACAAAACAGCTTTGTAGTTGTGCAAGACAACAGCAAAGTAAGACAAAAAGCGTGCTGCACGTGCAAGTTTGTTTGTTTACTAATTAGATCTATTGATCTTGATGCCATTTTTATTGCCGTCCCCGTTTAGCATTACACGATTTAATTTTTTTCCTTTATAAGCATTATTAACCAGAGCTTCGCTTTTAGCCCTGGCTAAATCTATATATTATATAGTTACCCTTCCTCACTCTCAAAGGACACCCCCGTAAGTCGGGCACCTGTCTTAAAGTACAACGGACTCTTAAGACCATGTTTACATGGAGTGGGGGACCCCGGTCTAGTGAGGTAGGTTTCTTTTGTTTTGTGTTCTCCAGAGCGTGAAAACAAAAGAAACCAACCCCACTAGACCGGGGTCCCCCACTCCGTGCAAATAGGCCCTAAGTGATGTTTTCTACAACCCCTATGCCCGTGTTATTTTACACTCATTTGTGTTCTGAACTTCTAATTTGCATGTGCTGGACACCATACTTTTGTTGTTTATCAGTAAGCAATTGACTTTTCGTACCTTAGTATTAAAGTATATATTTTTTTTTTATCCGCTGACTAACAAGTTTGTCTCTTTCTTTGTTTATTTTTAGTGGGATTACAAACCAGTGTCCAATCATTTTACATTGTGTAATTCGTTTCTCCAAGAACAGAAAAATTGGTTACGAAGTCCACTTATTGATGTTCACAGCATTCATCGAGTGACCGTTTCCGTCAAATACACAATAAATCCCTTTTGTTCCAGTCAACCATCCAACAGGTTTTGTACCGACAATATTGGAGTCTTTGTATGGGAATCCGAATTAAAGGTCACAACTGATTTGATACCGGACCCCCTGACCAGCAACAGTTCTTACAGACAAATTGCTACTATCCGCCGTCCGGCTAGCGACCAGACCATCTCTTTAGCACTTCAGCTAACAAAGGGATATATTGTTCTTGGATTTCTCGATCAAGGTGGCTGCAAAATTTTGTTTTCCGTCAGGATTACTTATAACGTTTGTCCCAGTACAACGCTCTCTAACAGTTTGGTCGATTTACGGGAAACTGTAGCTCCACCAAGTGTCTTTGAGTCCATCCTAGTGGAAGGAACATGTGCTGAAAACTCTTTCCATATTCAGGGAAGTTTGAATGTTACGTGTGAAAGCAGTGGTCAGTGGAATGTCAGTCAGTTTGAAGGGAAATGCGTCTGCAAGGAAGACATGGAAAATGTTGGAGGGACATGTACAGGTATGTTTAGAAATCAATACGATCATTATAATCCTCTTCAAGGCTGGTTTTACCTACTACTAGTAGAGTGGAAAGATGCTTGTTAGTGACATTTTTATCACCAATATGCCAATATTCATGGATCGGTTTTTTTACTATGGATAAATAAGCATAATTTAAAAACAAGGAAAATGTTGGAGGGACATGTACAGGTATGGCAAGATATCGATATGGTAAAAAACTTCCTTTCAGATTGGTCTTACCTGCTAGTTACTTGTGATAGCGGGTAGTTATAGGATGACAGACATATCTTACCCTGCTTCGTAGACGTAATCTAACTCCGGTTAGTAACGGAGAATCGTTTCAAATTTCCCTTCAAGCTGATTGTAGAGGCTAGTCATGTAAGGCGCGTACCCAAATCCTGGTTCCACAGCTGGGGGCCCAGAACGAGAATTTCGGCCCTGTTTCGCGGACATACTTAACTAGAAGTTTAGTTCCGTCTTTGGCGAAGGCTAGGCATATGCTAGTTAATGATATTTTTACCACCAATATTCATTGGTGTTTCATGGAAATTTGAGCATGCCTTCAAAATTGAAGCTTTTGCGCTCTTAAATTTAAAGCGGTCCTCGTTTGGACTTTTTAGTGGACAAGGATATCGGAGGGAAAAAAGTAATGGCTCATTCTATTCCAACTGTGTAAATGCCCGACAAATGCCTGGAGGGAGTTGCGGGGGGCGGGGGAGGGGGGTGAGGGGAAGTTATGGGCACGCCCGAGCCATAGACTTAAAAAGAGGTATAAGCTCTTATAAACACTTATCAAGAACGCAAACCACAGGTAACCCAGGCTCTGTGATAGTACCACAGTACGGTTCCAGTAAAATTACAGTGTTTGTATGGGGTAAAAATATCATCCTAAAATTTCTAGGAAATACTAAATAAAGATCAATAAAACTTACTCTGCAGTTAATTGTTGTTGTCCTTATTGCTCCAACGAAGTTTCGTGATAATTTGCAGTAATTTGTTTAAATTCACTCTATCTACAATAATAATATACAAGGTAGGAAACACGAGGTGCCATTTTCGCCGACATGCTCTCATTCAACACAACTTTTTCCACGAAATTCGAACTCCAACGGAAAATAAACATGCCAGGATCGTAGAAATAGGATAGCAGCAGATATAGAAACCAATGAAGCTTTCCCAGATAGAGAAACGAATCCCACAGACTTTGACAAACTCGAAGAATATAATCCAAACAGACGGAGAATATGCTCGCCGAAGCAGCCGGGCCAGATCAACACGCGGCCAAGAAAATGAGGCCTGGTACTGTACAAAAAAAAATCATCCCCGCGGGAGTCCTGAGGTGACCTTTCTGGGCACTGATACATCATTTGCCCAAAGCCACCCTACCCTGCTGGAAAAATACTTAATAGAAGGCAAGTAACATTTTTCAACCACAAATTTATAATGCGCGTAATTAAGTGCACTTCCGTGTATGAACTGTCACATAGTATAGCTAAATGATTGTGTCAATAAAACTACCAGTAATTGGCAGGGGAAAGTGAACCTTCATTATTTTTTTTAAAATGAATATACCACTCCATTCTAGGTTGACTTAAAAATTCCGCTCTTGCCGTCCGACTCACGTAAGCGACCACGAAGCCTTTGCATTTTGGGTGGTCGCTTACGGGAGGTTCGACTGTATGTATATAAACATCCTTTTAAATTATAATTACTATTTTTCCTTTATTTCAGCCTGTTCACAGGGTACTTACAACGACGCAAAGGGGCTTAACTGTACCGGTGTGTAATCAGTTATTTTTTTTTCTTTTTTATGAGCACTCTTCGTTCTGCTATTTTAATGTGATTCCGAAATCATACTGGTCATTCAACATTTACGGCAATGATCAATCAATCAATCAATCAATCAATCAATCAATCAATCAATCAATCAATCAATCAGTCAACCAACCAACCAACTCAGTAACCAACCAATGAATCGACCGATGTGTATACAATTAGTCCATTAAAAAAGTTAATCAATTGAATCACTCATGTCAATAGTTTCGTACATGTAAGAGGCGAATCCTAAGAATGAGCAAAAGATTAAAGTTATAAATAAAATAAAACATTTTTTAACTTAATTATTGGCGGAACAAAATCTCTTTATTGTGTTTTTTCTTTTCTTTTCTTATTTAGCCATCCCATCGCACCCGAGAAATGTTGTTACACTTTTTGTTAACCAAACGTCAGCTACGATAAACTGGATGCCTCCTAATATAACTGGTGACCAAGTATTCTACGAAGTCGAATGTCAGCGCACTTGCGAAATTGATGGCGAGGACTGTACTAAAGAAATCTGTGGTGTTGATAACAATGCAGGGTTCGTATTTATGAATAAAAGTTACGCCACTACAATGACGATTCCGGGGACAACAGGTTTGCTTTCCCCGTTTACGAACTACACTTGCAAGATCGTGGCTAAGAACAGAGTCAGTGAGGTAGCCGCAAGAAAACACAGGGTCGAAGCAACAAGCACCACAATAACATTCAAAACAAACGGATCTGGTAATTCAATGGCCTTGTTTAATTTTGATAACAGAAATCTATAGGTTACTAGTGTAACCGTCACGTCTTTCTTTCTAGACTGTTAATTGGTTGTAAAGATAATAATTAAAGATCAGAGTTATTCTGAACGTTCGTATGGGTATACAGATATACGTGGATTTGGATATCGGTGAAGGCCTAACGCATATTAACGGGGGGTGTCTTTTCACTAGAAAAATTAGTCTCTTCGTAACATAGAAGACACCTTGTAAGGCTCTCCCACGGTATTCCAGTGGGCAGACTACCGCCTGTTGTACGTGGGGTACACAATAGGATCGAATCCAATTGGTTCCTCATTTTGTTGCACTTTTTTCCTTAAACCTAAACGCTTATTTTTAATTCAGTGTGTAGAAATATGCTAAGGTTTAACCATTCTTGTTGATTGGCGTTTTTTAACTTAAAAATGAAAGATGGAATCTTAGTCTCCTCTCCTAGATTATGCATATTGAAAGCGGAGGGATGGGTTCTTATGATGTTACTAACGTGGGATTCATGAGGAAAAGATACAAAAGATGTCTCGTTGCTTCTTAAAGCTTCGTTTTATCTTCCTCTTTTTTTTGTGATGTCGCCTGTTAACAACTATCCATACTTGCGTTTTTCGTGACAGTTCCTGGCAGACCGGAAGTGTCTGTACGGCAAGCCGAAGATGGTGCTATCGTATTGTCATGGAAACTAAAATGCAAAAATGGCATAATAGAAAAATACATGGTGACGTACTTTGACGTGGATGACACTTCTGACCATGAAAGATCGACAACCTCAGAGACAGAACAACGGATTCAAAAATTAAGTGCCGGAAAAACGTACCAGTTCCGGGTAAGTTGTTTTCTTTCTAACCATCGCGCTGTAACAGAACCTGGAACTGATTTACTGAATATTACTATTGATTTATTGACGAACTGACATCATCATCATCATCATCATCAGCAGCAGCAGCAGCAGAAGCAGCAGTAGCACAAGCATCAATATCTCTTTTGATACATATTGCGCCTGTCAAGCTTTGAACCGGCGACATCTCGCTTGGCAGATTGACGCTTATCCAATTGAGCTAAGCGGGCGGTGTTGGGTCGAACTCCTGACCGTCTGACTGGTTATTTGTTTCAGGCTTTGACAGCCTTTGAACTATTTGCGGCCTGGTTACTGACTGGGTAAGCTATGGTGGCTACGTTCTTTTAAAGGCACGTCAAGTCAACCAAATGTCTCAGCGATTTGCTTTTTTGTATTATTTTTGTAGGTAACTGCCGTCAACAACTTCGGACAAGGGCTGTCTGGCGTTAAGACATTTACAATCCCAAACAGTTTTTCTGGTAATGTTAATTATTCAACTTTTGTTGAAGTGACATTGAATCTGTTCAACTCACTTTTTAAAAATATTCTCGGCAACACATTGAACAAAATTTCCGGTCATCATCTACTTTTAGCGCTTTTAGGGTTTGGCGTTTGTCGAGGCTCGGGCCAATTTGGAGGTCTGCTCTTACCTATAAAGAGGAAATAAAAACGGAAATATCCCCCCAGTTCTAGTATTGCCGGTTGTAACATTTCAATTGTCATTGTGCAGAGTTTCTTGTACCTCTATTCTGGAGATACGTTGATGAAAGTGCTAATTTCTAGTAATCAATGTCGTCAACGCTTTAAATAATTTAGGAAGTAGTCTATCAACCAAGGACAAGATGGTGATTATTGGCGCAGCAGGAGGAGGAGGCTTGCTGTTACTTATCCTCATTATCGTCATCGTTGTCGTCTTTCGCTTCAGAAGGTACTAAGTTTGTTGATAATTTCTATAAGAATTTTGTAAAGATAAATCTCTGATTTTCCTTACTTCTTAGAACTTAACGTGAAGTCACATGATTACTGGAGTGTTACGGAAGCTTCTATCTGCCTGTCACTCGCATTGCCTATCACTCCGCCATTGGTCCAGTAGATTCTGTGGAATGCAATTCTATGGTTTCACTAACTGCAATACCTCTTCAACAGCATTTTCACATGACCCTGTATATTTATAGATTTATTTATTTACATTTTACGGTTTATTTATGTGCTATGTGTTTTTCCCTCTTTTTTCCATGGTGTGACCAATAAATTGAAACCGCTACGGACTCAGTTGCATCGTGCCGCTTTTTTCTCTTATTCTGCTTGGAGAAATTTAAGATTTTTATTGAACTTTTATTAATTACGCTCATGGTTAAATTGTTTTATGGGTGATGATCTCTTGTAGGGAGGAAAGTCTTTTTAATGTTCCTCTTCTTGTTATTTCAGGGGCAGTCGAAGAAATGTAGAGAAGGAATATATGCGTACTATAGAGCAAGGTATGAACAAATTAAATAGTTGCCCTTCCCCACGCGTTACATCTTATTCAGTAGGGAGACTTAAGATTAATGTTTACGCCAAAGGGCAGACGTCAGGTTCAAGTTCAGAATTTCTCAGAATAGAAAATAAGCAGATAAAAACTGTCCAGAACAATTCTTATGTATAAAACTACTTATTTTTTAGTTGAAGTAATAAACAGTTAACGATAATAAAGGGAAAACTTGGTCACGTGGTTCAAATTCATGTTTGCCGTTTGGCGTAAACGTGAACCTTCATCTCTCTAGTTATTGAGTTTCACGTATACGGCAAACCGTCAGATTCAAGTTGAGAATTTCTCAAAATAGGAAACGAGCAGATAAAAACAGCTCAAAAAAATTCTTATGGATTAAAAAAAAATGAACGGTAAACGATGAAGTAGTAAGTGAACAGTAAACGGCAGGTAAAGGGGAAAGTTGGTCACGTGGTACAAATTCGCGTTTGCCGTTTGACGTAAACGTGATGCTTAACCTCTCTAATTACTCTTACTCAGCTACTTAAATCAACTTCCGTTCCAACAGGAACTGATCTACAATCAATGGATCAGCGACGTTATATCGACCCAGGAAACTACCTTGATCTAATGGAATTGCTGTCAACGTTTACAACAGAAATCGAAAGAAGTAAAACAAAGCTCGATAGACTTATTGGGCAAGGTAAGCATTTTTTTTTTCTGCATTTTGGATGAGATTTTTTTCTTGTTGGTTTGTTTATTTCTTTTTTTATATATATACCCTATGATCGGAAGCTACATATTGAAAATTGTATCAAAATGTGAACTGCAAGAAGGTTGAAAAATCCGGCAGGTTAATGCTTTCTTCCGTCTTTGTCCTGCATCTCGCTAGTGAGTAGACCATGTGGATGTAATAGTCTTGTGCAGCTGGTGCTCTTGCTTCATAAAGCCGATTTTACTTTTTGCTTGACTGCTGGTTAGTTTTCTCGCCTCCGATCTTCTTCAATTTCTTACAGAAATTTATTCTATGATAGTGATATGATGTCATACATGTATCTCTTTCCTCTAAACACGTTATTTTATTGTGAATTTGCTTTTAGTGCCTCAGTATGTGACTGCTGCTTGCGTGACACCTACACTGACCGTTAGCTGGATTTTATTCAGTCGAATTTAGTCTCATGCAAGCTCAGTTTATCGACCGCCCTTGTAAATAACCAGCTCAGTACGGAACTTAAATATTGTTACTTTCAATATGAAACACCTGGTGCCAAAATGTTCTTTATCATTATTCTTGGAAAGTCCCTTAATAATAGTAAGGTATTTACTTACTGTTTGTTTCTTTTCTCTTGCTAGGGGAATTTGCTGATGTCTACAAGGGAACACTGCAAACTGCGAAAGGAAAAGAAATCGTGGCAATCAAAGTGTTGAGAGTGAGTATAACATTGGGCTATTACTTTCTTGCCCAGAAATTTATGCATGCCATTGATTGTGAGTACCTATTTGACCCACATTTGTCTAATGTTTAGTTAAGCAAGTCAAAAGCGCCTATTCCAAGGCCTTTACATTCTAGAATTTTTACTTCTCTAGTTGATTTTCAGTTTAAGGTACTATTTTTTTTGTGCGTTTAGCCCGGCTCAAACGAGAAGAACCAGAAAGATTTCCTGTCAGAAGCATCTATCATGGGCCAGTTTGATCACCCAAATGTGATTGCGCTGAAAGGAGTTGTTACGCAAAGTAGGTCTGCAGTGATTTTCAAGGCAACAATGAATGATTTTGAGGGGCACTGAACATTTGGGGAAAAGCCAAGAAATTTTTATTTCTTTCTTTCTGTGTGACGTTTTGCGCGGCATGCCCCTGTGCTGTACTTTTAGCAAAATGTTTCTCTGCTACAGTTTAAGACGGAATCCACCAGGGCATTTAGTAATTTTGATTTTTAGTGGACAATAACGTAAAGCATAATGCATTCTTTCTTACATTTTTCAAAGGCTAAAGATGTAATAAATCTGTAGTAATACGAAAAAAAAATTCTTATGGGAGCCCGAGAAAATGAATGTCAAATTTCACAAAATTACATCTGACACATGAAATTTTTAGAATTTCACCCGTATAACCACAATTCTTGTGGAAAAGTTACTTTGGTGTTACTACAGATGATTTATTACATCTTTAGCTCTTGAAAAATGTAAAAAAGACTGCAGTATGCTTTAAACTATTCTGGTACAAGATGGTTTTCCACTGAAAACTAAAATTACTCAATTTCCTGATGGATTCCTATTAACCCTTTAGGCCTAATATTCCCATAAAAATTCTCTACAATGATCTCCATAGATTCCTTAAAGAATGGTTGACAGAATTTAATAAAAGGTTAAAGCATTCTCCATATGGTGATCATTTTGCTGATTATCATAACGTTTCTTTTGGTTATGTGTTGATATTATTTGGAGAAAATTGATGTTACCCACACTTAGGAGTTCAAAGGTTAACCTTGTGACACGCTTCTCCCAGTCTTACTGAGATGCTGCGTGTGAGGAATTTTGCAAGGTCAACTCTCGACCTTAATTGTTTGCAAATTATAGCGTGGACACACGACCTTTTCTTTTCTTGTTTTTTTTTTTTTTTGAAGTTGCTTTAAGATGCTTCCTACATTCTTACACAATACATCTCTCTCATTTTAGGTAGACCAATGATGATACTAACAGAGTTTCTCGAGAGTGGTTCATTGGATAATTTTTTGAAAGTACGTTTTATGACTAGTATGTTCATAATTTTCATGGAATGACGTTAACTCTCAAGGACACCGCATTTTTAAAGCTGCGTTATAGCGAAGCCGAAACTTGTTTGTCTGTATTCAGTAACTTTATTTATTCATTTATTTCTGATTATCAAATGTTTTAACTTCTTCCTGTGACTTTACGTTTTGCTGTTTTTACTTATGCCATAAGTGTCTTTCGATTTTGTTTAGCTATCAGATTTTCTGCAAATTGTTACAGACTAGTATTGCAGTTATTAAATATGTTGCATCTTTATTTGTCCATAGGGTCGCAATGGCCAAATTTCCGCTATTCAGTTGTTGGGAATGGCTAGAGGCGTGGCAAATGGAATGGTCTATCTTTCAGAGATGAACTTTATTCACCGGGTAGGCAAACTAACGCAAATCCTTTACATGTGGAAACTATTCCTGAGGGATAGAAGAAGGGCCGATTATTAGAAAACCAGCTGAATGACGGATGAAGGGACACCCCTGCTCTGTTATTTGATCTACATAAGGATAGCCGGGTCTCAACGTTAGGCTTGTGAGCAAAATGGAAATAGAATAAGGTTAAGCGTTGCGTCATGTTCCTCAGTTACTTCAAAACCTTGGAAATTGGACTTTCCTCAGGGCAGAGAGCCCCCGGCATCCTGCCCTGCAGACCAGCGCTATATCATCAGAGAAAACCCTGCCATGATTACTAATTTGCAAAAGGACTGGAAAGCAGTCGTATCGACCACATTTCTCTTTCGCCAAGACCATTCCCTCCCCTGATTTTTTTCTGCTTTAGACCAAACCATAATAAATGATGGGTTCTCTTCTTAACTTTTTGTTATAAAGCAGCTATAGTTACATATTTTCACCCACTTGTCCTTCGTGCTGATTTCTTTTACACCAGGACCTCGCCGCTCGTAACATTCTTGTTGGTGAGAATATGTCTTGTAAAGTATCTGATTTTGGCCTTTCAAGGGAACTGGCTGATGACAAGCCTGATTCAGAATATGAGACACAGGTAAAACAATTTGATCTTCGTTTTGTGTTTCGCGGACTTAAGCAGCCTTTTGATTCTTTGCTGGACCTTTAACATTTCCATTCCCAGAGGACATTTTGTAAAAAAGCGGTTCTCACCTTTTTAAATAGTTTCTAAATAAAATCCAGCGGTATTATATTTTAAATGAATTTTCTTTTCCTGTAGTTTAACATGGTACAATTTGTTTTTCGGCATTTAACAAAATGAATTTTGGAGGCTGTATCGAATTCGAAGCTTATTTGTAAATTGCCATAAAATGACTGTGCGGCTTTCATTTCTTTTAGGGAGGCAAAATTCCAGTGCGCTGGACCGCACCGGAAGCTCTTCAGCACCGGAAGTTCAGCTCAGCAAGTGATGTGTGGAGTTATGGTATCCTTCTCTGGGAGATAATGTCATTCGCCGAGAGACCATACTGGGACTGGAACAACTATGATGTGAGTGTCAAATGAGATTAAGGGTTTCACTGAAGATGGGACAAATTGATTGGATTTCCATGACAGGAAACCCAAGTCAATTGATCTATCTTCATTACAATAATTTTTGACAGACAACCGGTTCAGTTCAACCTCTAACCTTGTGTGACAAAACTTCTTATTATTTTTACTTATAACCCTTCAGTATAACCCCTACAGCCGAAAAAATAGTCTCCCTACTCTTGTATGGTACTGGGGCGCTTGAGTGCTGAAGCATAAACTTTTTTAATTTTCTTGGGTTTCAAAGTAATATATATTTTTTATTTATATATTATTATTATTATTATTATTATTATTATTATTATTATTATTATTATTATTATCATCATCATCATTAGCATTATTATATTTATTACTATTACTATTACTATTACTATTATTGTTTTTTGTTCGTTTTCGTTTGTTTTTTTCTTTGTACTTAAGGTATGGGCCATGTTTACTTAGGATTGTTTTTATAATGAAGAAAATGATTCTTGTCGTTGACTCTCTTGATTGGTGATATTACTGTAATAAACCAACAGTGTTTGCCTTATTTACAAGATTTTTTTTTTCTTTTTTTTTTTTTTAATTGGAGAAATGCCATCTTTCCTATCCCGGTGGAGAAAAAAATAAAACCCATCCGAACTTTTTTGGTTTGCTTTTACTTTCACAAAGGTGATTGGCCGAGTGGAAACGGGATATCGCCTTCCACCTCCCACGGTAAGTTTTGTTGGGGTTGTTGTTGCTTAGTTACGGTATGTACCTGTTTTTACCGGACATTGACTTATGGAAATATCAATTGACAGGCGAATATTTGTTTACATTTAGTGCCTTATTAGCATATGCCATTTCTTCTCTGATGGAACTATGAAAGAAACTCTCTGAATATCGAAAGAGCATAACAATTTCAGTTATCTGTGAAAATCTGAGGCCGATATACCGAATAGTTTCGTTTTTGCCACTCAGCAATTTTGCAGTTTTTGATGGTTGCTGTTTTACAATGATAATTATAATAATTATTATTATTATTATTTATTTGTTATTGTTTGCAAAGCATTGCACAAATTTCTCAAATAAACCAACTCTTTCAACTTAATGAATATATATTTTTGGTGCATACGGCGACACCTTTTATGGGTCAGCTCATATGCTAATAAGGAAAACAATGACGTCAGCAAAGATTCGTCTATTCGTTGGTGACTGGAAATTTTTAGCTCCCACCAAAAATGTAAAGGCATGATTGCACCCAGCAAAACTTGTCGCAAGCAATTGCCAACTTAAATGTTCTGCCAAGCAAAGTAATAATAACCACTGTTTGAACGTAACAATATTCCGAATAAAATCTGCTAACACTGACAAAGAGAATGCCGATCGACGTACAGTCATATTCAAAGTCCTTATTCGCCATTTTTGTTTTTTTCGTGTTATTAAATCGCTTCTCAATTCACAAGTGAACTGAATCAATCCAGTGGTGAATATTAATATTAGAATTGAGACAGGTCAATCCTAATCATTTGAATAACTCAAATTTTTCATAGCGGTTCGAGTTAGTAGTGGTTTTATATATACGAGCCTTAAAATATTAGAATTGTTTTTAAAATTATACTGTGATATTGGAATTGGTATGATTGTTATGTTGCTGCAATATAATTGTAAGGAATTTAAAGATATTAACCAGAGTACACAAGCATGTAATGCATGTAATTCGAGTTCCCCAGCAAGAATCGATGGAAAGTTCCTTGACTAAGCGCAGGCCTATGCCCTATCATATAGTCACTCGCCCGTAATTCAGTGAATAGTTAGAGCGTCCAACCGGTGATTGAAAGGTCGTGCATTGGATTCTTTTGCTTGTTCTAATTCCAGCAACAACTACAAAACAACAATAACTTAAAATGATATGTCTTGTTTTCTAGTTGTAAATTTCTTTTTCGTATTTGTTGTTGTTGTTGTTGCTTAGGGTTGTCCAAAAGTTGTCCACGGATTAATGCTGGAATGTTGGGAAGCCGACAAGAACAAGAGACCCAAATTTGCAGAAATCGTCCGTCGCTTAGATGAATTGTTCCGTTTCCCTGAAGTTTTAAATGATGACTTATTGGCTGTGAAAGCAACGTAAGTTTTTTCTTAAAACAAGTAGTTAAATTTAATGTATGTTATTAGATTTTTTGAAAGTAAATTGCAGTATTCAACATGCACAACTAGATATATAAAGTGTTCTTACACAATTGGCCAGCATCTATGCAAGATTATTAGTAAGAACCATAGAAGGCTTTTACACAGGACTTCTTTGGGACAACAATGTGACCGTCGTTTTATAGTGTTAGGACTGGGACGTCATCCGTAGCCAAGGCACATAAAAAGTAGTTCCACAACTTATAAACCATGGAGATTAACCAGAAAAGTAATTGAAGCCTATGTACTGTTTTCTTTCAGGTCAGAAAAACCTGATGTTCCACAGTTCCGGTCTGTTCACGAGTGGCTGAAATTCATCAACATGGACAAGTATTCAGAAGTTTTCAAAGCTGCAAATATCAAGAGCCTCCAAAAAGTTATTCGGCTGGACGATACGAAATTAAAAGGCATGGGAATTACCCTGATTGGACATAGGAATAAGATGCTCAAGAGCATAAGATCCATGAAATCACAATTTGTTAACAGGGCACTGGACGACGATGAAGCTGCAATATAGTGGTGCTTGTTATTTGTAGGTTTTAAAGGGGCTATGTCGTGTGGATATTGCTGCTTTAGGTCAATTCCGTACTGACGTCAATGCTTAGTGCCTTTAACCCACACACAAAATGCTCCTAGGGAGTTATGAAGAAGATATAAAACAATAATTTTCTGTAATTTTTGCAGACGTAGCATTAACCCTTTCACTGCCAGATTTAGCCAAAAGCAATTTTCGACCAAATTTCGAAATTTCATTTTGTGAAATTTGGAGAAACAAATAGCACCATGTGTAAGTAAAGGCAGAGAGGATTCATTTGAATGGTCACATCGTAGAATTTGGACCGCAGACTCAAATGTTAGAGTAACCTTACAAAACTCCGACAAGCACTCTGGCAGTGAAAGGGTGGAAAAACTGGCCGAACTTTTTTTAAGTTTCATCCATATCCATCCTTGGTATCCGTTGTAACAGACGACAGGAAAAAGTTCGAATGTCTAAATATCGTTTAAAGAACAAAACTGTGCCATTATTTTTGGAATAAAATTGACGCAAAGAAGTTTTAGCTTTTCTTTTAAAAAGCAAATAGCGTGACATAGCCCCTTAAAGGTTATATTACAAGGGACGATTCGCAACGACGATTTTTAGCCAACACAGCGTTGCAATGTTGGAACAATGTTGTAACTATTCAAAACAATGTCGCAACAATGTTGAAAGGCTGTGTTGCGCTAAAAATCGTCGTTGCGAATCGTCTTGTGTAAAATCACCTTCAATTGCTAGAACTCTGTTCTACAATGAAGCATGTGCTAAGTAGATCCAATACCTTAACTCGTTAAGTCCCAATACCCACACATAAATTCTCCACACTTATCCCCATACCGGCATTTCTTTAAAGAATAAGTTGAGAGGATGCGATGAAAAATCAAAGCATTTTCTTTGGCAATCATTTTATCAATTCCTCATAACCGTTTCCATTGATTATTTATTGATTTTTAGGAGAATTTTGATGTTTTGATTTTTGCTTTAAGGGCGAGTTCCCCTTACGGAAGGTGTCCGCCTATGGGAACTATCCGCTAGCGGAGGCTCGACTGCATAAAGCGGGCACCCTCTCACGGACACAAGAGTCAATGAGTTCCAAACAATATTCAGTAGACACCTCTATTTACGGTGTACTTGTGACAGTTTCTTTTTTCCCCAATAAGTACGGCTTATTCTCGGAATTTTTAAATTGTTTTCTTTTTTTAAAATGTTCAAAATGGAACAAAATCTTCATTAGTTTGGTAACTCTAATCCGTTGTGAAAATATGAAAATGACATTCATGTCTGCGCGAAAAAAAATATATATCATTAGCAAATTTAGACTTATCGACGAACGGCAATCGTTTTGTCTGAGGCTTTTTTAATCCTGAAAAGAAAAGTAGTCAAAAGGAAAAGTCAGAGAGCTGTTATATTATTGCGTTCCTCTTTCTGGCTCCATCTTTAATTTTAATTTTTTATTTCTCTTTTGTTTGCTTTGGTTTATAGTATCAGATTTCTTATTTTGTAACTTCTTTAGATTTTAGAGTATGCAAGATGTTTTAAATTTGTTGTAAAAAGTCAAAACTATCCCCTCTCTTCTTAGCCAAGCTGGAGACTCAGACCTTTGCGTAATAGTTTCCAATTTTCAATTTATTTACGCAAATGAAAGAAGATATTTTAAGCATTTTACATAGAAATGCGCATTTTTTACGACGATGTATTTTTTAAATTCGTACAATTCAAGATGTTGAAAGAATGTATATTTTTCGATGCCAGGCTAGAAATATTTGAGAATTAAATGTTCATCTTGATTGAAAATCTGAGCATATTCTTTATGCTTTCCTGAGTGAGATGCATTGCGGTGTTCGCATCTTACAAATAGAAAAGATAATCACCCTTAACTTTTATATAACCCATGTACGTCTCTTTAATCCTGGACCACCCTCGTTTCTTAAGGTTTACTTTTACCTTTATTATTGTGTAATCTCCTCCAGTTCTCTGGTATTTTCTGGGTATTCTCAGCCATGTCTCAGCTTAGAGACACAACACTTTCCCCAAGATATGAGCAGTAACATGGATTGCTGAGAACTGTGTACTTCCAAAAATGTCAGACAGACTCAACCTCCCATACCAGGACTTTGCATTCTTCGAGATAATTCAAAGTCCACCATTAATCACGATGGGTATTACTGTCACTCTCGTGGCTCTGTGGATTGTTTTAATTTCGAGTACCTGGTCTTGTTGTTGTTGTTATAATTATAATTATTATTATCATTATTATTTTTATGATAAATTATTGTTGTTGTTGTTGTTGTTTACCAGACTGTCAATAACTTGTTTTTTGTTTTGTTTTGTTTGTTTTTTTGGAAGGGGGGGGTGGGGGGGGAGAAGGTTTCTTCCACGTTAAGATAACCTATAACTTTTACGTTAGAATAATAATAATAATAATAATAATAATAATAATAATAATAATAATAATAATAATAATAATAATAACAACAACAACAAGAGAAGACTGTAGCACAATTATTGTCAGCAGTGTTTCAAACTAACTTTTACGAACTAATCGAAACGAGCTTACAGGTTAGCATTTCTGATATCTGATTAATTATTGCTTACCTGTGCAGATATAAGGCTCTTCTGGTTGTTATATTTTCCCCTTTTACATCCTAAAATGAAATTATGTATTTTAGTTTGGAACAAGGAGATTTTAGCTTAATAATAATTACGGTTTTCAATCACACACATTTTACTCAGTTTCCCAGACGGTTTCTATTTCAGTGGCTGGGTTTGCCCAGATCGCGTGACACAGCTTCTTAACGGAAAAACCCAATATAAACTACTTTCATATTCAAACCGATTGTTAATATTTAGGGAAAATGGATTACGACACGAACATAGAGTAAATTGCATAGATTCTGAAGTATCCACGCCATTTCCTGTTATATTGAACAACAGATAATGATGGAAACAAAATTTGCCTCAAGCATTTCTGTTGGATTTCGTAAGAATAGCTGCGTGTGATGTGTTAAAAAGGAGATGATACCGCAATGGCTTTGAATTACAATACTAAAGCTTCAAGAACTTGATAGACATACGGTCGTATCAGGTGCATAAATTTGGTAAGAAAATACATTTTGATGTAAATGTGTATGTAATTAGTCATTAAACTATCGAGCAATTGTTCGTTAGTTCTTCTATGGAATTTGGTGCCCCTAAAGAGAAGGATCATAAGTAATAAAATCATGATCCAAACTGCAGCAACAGTGTCGTAGCTGATTTAATGTCCGCAAACTGCTTGCGTGAATCGCTGGCAACTTGTTGCTGTACAAATGCTGTGGTTCATGATATTATTATAGTGTAATTAATTCAGTGGCGTAAATTACCTTTGTTTTATTCCCCCAAGCCTTGAAGCTAAGTATTAATTTTACTAAATGAAGTTGTTATATTTACCAATTAAAGGAATCGTTAATTTTAAAATTACGATAGTTAACCCAGGACCTAGCACATGTTCGAATGGCGAACGTGATCAAAAGAAAAGCAGTTCTTTTGTTTTATTCCCCGAAGCCTTGATGAGAAAGGTATAAATTTTCATAAATGAATTTTTTTTGTTTATTTCCACCAATTAAAAGAATTTTAGTTTTGAAAGTACAAGACCTAGCGCATGTCGGAATGGCGAAGGTGATTGCGCTGCAACGCAACGGAAATTTGTTGCAGTTCAGTTTTACATATAATTCAGATTTTTTTCCCATTGTTTCATACTCATTCCACAGCACGCTACCAAATTTTTACAGCATAGTTTCAGGTCAGTGTGGTTGAGCACGCATGTCATTCTGGAGACTATCAGTTAAAATAAATTCATTTGCAGCCAAGGCGTATAGCCATTGTTAGTTGATGAATTTACAGGCAGGGATTAGAAGAATAGCTATTCTTTGAGGGAATATTCAAGGAAATAACAGTTTTGGCTCCGTCGATCGACAAATATTTGATTCATCTACTTGATTGCAACAGACATGATTACATTTGTTTGCCACTACCAAACTTGCTCTAAAGGTATGTTGATATTAAAACGCTTCAGTCGCATACGGAAGTTGGAGCTTAATCGTGCTTCTTGCTTGATATCTCATCAGACCAATTTCGATGTTGAAATTCATATTTGGCATGGGGGCATAAACCAAAAGAGTTGCATTAATTTTTCTACTCCTGAACCGTTAGGTGATGATTTTTTTTGTTCAATTCCCCGAAGTCTCGGTGGACAGGATGAATTTTGATGCATTAAAATTCATCATGGTTAGTTCATCAACGTAACCCAAAGTCACTATGGTCTCCATATTGGTGCTGTAAAACTGCAAGGAAACGGGGCAATGTTGGTAACGAAGCTAATTCGGCCAGGATTTGAACCCTTCAGACGTCTTTTTTTTCCTCAACTGACTCTTCTTGTTATGAAATTTTCATTTAGAAAGGAAAACCACTTAGTAGTATACTCCCAAATCATCCAATAAATTCTTATTCCGTTTTGTATTACCATGTAATTTAGCTGGGGCGCCTATATAACTAGATGGCACAGTTTTGGACTGTGATGTATTTGTTCTTGACGATTATCTCGTGGGCAGCATTAGAACAGATCGTGATGGTGCAGAAACCAGATTGTAGTCCATGCAGGTGGACTTGGACGAGTTACGCTGTTAAATGCAGTTTATGCCCAATTGTCGGGGTAAGTGTATAAAGCATTTATTTTTCCTGTCTTAGCCCAGGCCTCGAAAGGGGTTGAGGATATGGAAGGAGTGAAAAGGAAGGGGGCTGGGGAGGCTAAGGATCACCTTAGTTTTACGAACTGATCAACAGGTGATAACAAAGTAATTGAAACTTTCATTCAACGTCTGATTTCTAGCTCGAATTTCCTCCTCTTGAGTCACCCATGCCCATACCGTGGTGTTCTCAGGTCGTACATTCGTCTCCACTGTGAGACCTCCTTACCCAATCTCTCGACACGACGATTACTTTTTAAACAGTTTCGTAGTCGGAAATCTAGCCTTATAGGCATAAGCTGAAAACGAAATTCAACATCATTTTCAAGAATGTTAAACTTTTCGGACATGTTTTTTTTGCTTGTTTCGTTGTTGTTGTTTTTTTTTGCGTTTACTCGCAGTAAGAATTATACATGAACGAAAGAGTTCCGCTTGCGATAGACCTTACTTTTGATATAACTATTCCATTTTCTATGATAGAAACGGATTGTCGTAAACATAGGGTGTTATTAACGTTTTCTTCAAACGCCTTAGTATGCACGGCTATGCGTTTCCTTTCATTTATTCACCACATAGAAATCTCGCCGAAACATGTTGCACGCTCATTCAGTTTCTTAACAGCATAAGAAAACAGCTGACATTTCGTGACGCCACCATTAGTTTACCTGCAAAATGACGTCTGATAAACGAGCACAGAAAATGCATATTGATGACCCGTCACTACGCAGAACTGAATAATCCTTCTGATTGGTCGTGCTGGATGGGAAATTTGCTTCAACCAATCCGAAGCACGATCTGCATATGGTTAGGAACGCGTCACCATTTTTCAATTTCTGCGCTAGTTACTCAGAAGTCATTTCGCGAGGACACTAGTACTTTTTGCCAGCACTTTAATGTAGTTTTCTATCTTTCTTTTTCTCCCTTCTTGTCTGTTTTAGTGGGACCACCCATCCGTACCTGGAGATATGAATGCACTATCAAAGTATACTGTGTGCAATATTCTAATACCTGATGGTTCTTCTTATTACAAATCTCCATTTGAACCAAATAATTGGCTACTTAGCGATCTCATTCAAGTAAGAGAAGTTAACAGAGTAGACGTCACTGTCGAGTACTCTATGAGAACTCAGTGTCCTCCGTCTGCACTGTATTGTAAAGAGTACTTTGATGCTTATGTATGGGAATCCGACTCAATTGTCGTACGTGACAAAATACCGCACCCCATAAACATCAACGGTTCGTACAGAAGATTCGCCTCATTCAATCGTCAGTCCAGTGGTTTTGCGGTTTTGACAGTGCCACTTGTCCTATCAAGAAGATACTTTGTGCTTGGATTTCGGGATCAAGGTGGCTGTAGAACATTAAATTCCGTTAAGGTCACCTACAATGTTTGCCCTCGAACAACGCTCAGTAGAACCTTGGTTAGACACGGCGCTTGAAATCGTGGTAGTTTACTGGCACTTAGCTAAAGTCAAAATCCTCTTACACGACGGTTGAGACATGATCAAAGCTTGTCAAACTTACAAGAAACACTCTCGTCACCACTTACCTTATACACTCGTCTTGGAGGGGGGTGCGTTTGCAAGGAGGACATGGAAAACATTGAAGGCAAATGTGCGGGTGAGTGTGATGCTATCAAAATTACTCGGAAAAAAAAAAAAACGAACGCTGTACAGTGCGTAAGTTTCACGTGATAGAATGTCAAATCACGCGTGATCACATTATGAGTGCTAAAAGCCCGGTTTAAACGCCCGAGATCAGATTGCGTTCTGTGCATTCCATGCATTCTTAGTGGAAGTCCAAAAGAAGCTGGCTATATGAATGGTGTCCGGTCACCTCGCCACCAAGACATATATATCTTAATACTTATCGAAAGGACACGTCTCTAAAAATAACCGACATGCTACGCAGGCTACTCTAAAAAGAATCATCTTGCTTTAAAATTACAATGAAATCTAAGGAGGTAAGATTCAAGTAACAATAGTAACCAATTCTCATAAGAAAGGCTGTTGGGTGGTAACAAAATCGCACCTCTCACAAAAATAAAACGCTAAAGATGAGAAGTTCGATGCAAGGTGTCAATAAAAATCGATTAACTTATATTTGGGCTTTAGGAAGAAGTAACAATCCCAGGTAAGTAAACAGTGTCAATTATTGCAGAGTTATTAAGTGGTAGAAAGTAGACTCCTTGGTGGCGAGATGGCCGTAAACCATATACATGTGTGCCGTGCCTGCCCAATAGCAACCTGGAGATTAGAATTGCAGGCTCCTCTTGTTCCCCGCAATTAACCTTAACTAGATCCTCACAACCCCTAAAAACCTTTTTCAATCAAATGTAAACTCTCTCTTACAATGTAGTTGTTTAATTAGTAAATTTCCTTGTTTGTGAGCAGTCTATCTATTCCAGCTTTATTTGTTTTGCTGTTGTATTTTTTCGTATCCATTAAGGGGAAAGAACGGATAGCGAGAAGACTTTAACCCCATATAACAAAGATTATAGTTCAGATTTACGAGATACACTGAATAATTCTAACACTAACAAAGCTAAAATGACTCCTTTTTTCAAAACTTAAATCCGTAATTTCATTTTAGGATGTAAAAAGGGAAAATATAACGACCAGACGGGCCTTAATTGCACAGGTAAGCAATAATTAACCAGATATCACTGATACTGACCTGCATGCTCGTTTCAATTAGTTCTTTGACTAATTAGTTTAGAACAGTGCTAACAATAATTGAGCAACATTCATTTTTGCTATTATTACTGAAATAAAATGCAACGAGCAATCTCTTTGGTTTAATTGTAGTTTTTTGAAAAACTCGGGTTTAAGGGCCTGTTTACATGGAAGTGGGAAACCCCAGTTAGGTGAGGTAACATGCGGCGGGTCACTATACCTATCATGTAAACGTGATCAAATCAAAATGAGAGATTATGTGGACAGGCGGGTTACCCACCAAAGCGGGTTACCTCACTTACCTAGGGTCCCCCACCTCCATGTAAACAGGCCCTAAGATGAGGAGGCGTGAGGAGGCGGGTGTGGCCGAGCAGTTAACACCTCGAATTCCAAATCTGGAGGTCCGGGGCCCAAGCCACGCTCGTCACGTTATTTCATTAGACAAGGAACTTTAAACCACTTTGTCTCTCTTCACCCAGATGTAGAAATGGGTATCGGCGACATACTACTGGAGGGGGGGGGGGGGGGGGAAACCGGGGGAGGGATTTACGACCCCCCCGTGGGGGGGGGGGTAGGGTCATTACTCTATTGTGTTTTGCTGACCAAAAAACAGGAAAAAACGCCCGTGGTTTTTTATGGACTTTGGGCTGTGTTCGGCCTTTGTCTACTCTGAACTTCTTTTTTGTTGTTTTTTGGTTGCCAGCTAT